GGCCGAAAAGACGGTAGTGACCGAGACATTGGCCTTGCTTAAGGAAGGGGAGATTATAGACTTGACCAGTAGGACGGGCGACAAGGTGAAAAAGGTGATTGAAAGCCTACACGAACGGGTGCACGGAGTCGACAGCAAGATTGAAAGGATGGAGAGAGCGCTAGTAGTTATGCAGGCGCAAGTATCCCGTCCCCCCCTCCCGCCCCAGGAAGCAGTAGTTCCGCCAGGGGTGGCCAATCGTGGATTCGGACGGAGAGATCCCGCTAATGAGAAATGCAAGTACTGTACGGCGATAGGACATTATGTGCGCGCGTGCCCAAAGCTCAACCATCATATTCTAAAAAGGTGTACCAGGTCATTAAAGGGGGAGATATTTGGACCACAAGGGGAACGGGTGAACTGGAACTCACCGGGAGGGATGCGGCGAGCCATTATCATGCTCAACGGGCTAGAAATAACAGTCGTAGAAGCCGAACCGGTGGGCGAGATCATCTGGGATCAACGCCAGGGGCGCGGGCCGCAGGTCAATTTCATTTTGGAAAACGACGGACATGATAGGGTGAACGCGACTACTCGGCTAGGGACGGTTGGGAAAAGGATTAACCGTGACGCCGTGATGGAGGAGGTTGCTGGAAGTTCGAAACCCCAGGCAGAGCCTGAGGCCGAGGAACCGAAAAAGGTCTATGGGAAACCTAGGGAAGAGGAGCCTGCCGACAAAGTTTCCGCTGCCAAGAAGAAGTTTAGGTACCAAATCCCGATCTTATCCTTACCTGAGATCGACGACACCATTAGCAAGTTACTAGGGACCATGGTGTCGGTGTCTTTTCAGACTATGCTGCAGGCTAGCCCTAGGTTGCTCAAAGGGCTTAGACAACTGTTGACCCGGCGGCGAGTAGAAATAGGCGACAACCCCGAACTACCTGAAGGGGAGAGGGAGGAGGAAGTTCCGCAAGAAGTGGCTAACCTGCAGAGGAGTCGCGGGGACTTGGAGCATCTCGAGAAGGCCTTTGCAGACATTTGTTTAAGCTTGCCCGACCGAGAGGGCGGCGAAGTCATGAGATCGCCACCTGGGACGAAGCTTAGCTTTCATGCGCTACCCGTAGGGAAATTGAAAATCCAGATCGGGAGTCATCACACCGACGCATTAGTAGACGGGGGGGCAGAAATCACCCTTATAAGAAGAGATTACGCAACGATCACGGGATGTACGGTAAACAAGGAAGTAACAGGGAGCATCCGGGGAGCTGGCGGGGAAATCCCGTTCGCTGGGTACGTCACGAAGTGTGCTGTAAAGGCAGGGGTCAGGGAATCAATCTGGTCATTTCAGCGGATGACCGTAATGGAGGAAGTGGATCACGACATAATCCTCGAGAGGCCGTGGCGCGCGAACGTAGAGATGATAGGCATGCACTTGCACGATGGCTCATACATGGTAGACATAGAGGACCCGGTGACTGGCCGGGGAGAGCTCCTCCGACTCCTTGGAACGGGAGGAGACCCCCCGAGGGGGAAATTGGCAACATGGTTGAAGTCATTCGAGGATAGCACGCGAAAAGGGGCTTTCGCACGAATGGAGGGTATGAGAGAAAGGGTAGAAATCATGATTGAGGAAGCGTTCAACAAGAAGGAGTGGATCAAGATGGGCCTGCCCCAGAAGAAGAGGAGGCAGGAGGACACAGTCCTAGGTGGTATGGTAGCAGAAAAGGAGTCGGAGGTCGAACTTGGTGCTAGCCTGCCCAAACGAAAAGAAATGCGCGTAGACATGCCGGAAATCGCACTCGAGATCCCCGATCTATTGCAACTCATCAAGGCCCTCAGATACCACAAGGTGGGAGTGGATTCGGCAACCTTGGCCAAGTTCGAAAGAGAGGTGAAAAAGGGATATTGCCTGAATGGGAAATTAGTTAGCATTCAACCACGAGTCATAGAGGTGACGGGGGCAATTCCGGTTGTTCATTTGAGAAAGCTCCCGGAAGGAAGTGTTTGAAAGTACAAGCCGGGAGGGAAGAAAGCAAAACCGGTCTCGATCCTGCTAGAGACATCAAAGGAAGAGGCTATGGAGAAGGAGGAAGAGGTCCTTCGAGTGATCCGAGAAAGAAGGGCGACGGAGGGACATCGGATACCAGATGAGGTAGCGGACACAATTAAGATAGGGATAGACGGGTTTTTAACGGAAGAAGAAAACCGCCTGATCAAAAGGACCTGCCAAGAATTTCATCTGGCGTTTGCCTTTAGTGATC